TTTAGTTTGGACGCAAAGGTATAATGTGTTAAAGTCTAATATATCAGAGGAAACAAAGTTGAATCTAGGGTGTGTTGTACACTGTTCCTTTCCTAATCTAGGTGCGCTGGTGTATAGTTATGTGGCAGTAACAATATACACTAAAGGCGGAATTGGGTACCGAGGCATTTCCCATTCGTTATGCTAGTCTTAAACCTCACTGTAAATAAAAAAATGTCAAACAATTATTACAATGTAAAATAGATGCTTTAGAATTCATAAAAATCTTCAAAATTCATCATTAAACTATTTTAATCAATAAAGTAACAAAAATGGAACTACTAGTTTAGTTGGTAGAGCATTGGACTATTTCTAAAGAGGGTTTATGATGAACGCAAATTTTAAATGATTTAGTGCGCAATCTGCTATTCCAAAAGTGGGTCAATCCAATATTTTTAGAATAATGCTATTTGCAGTCGCTTATTGCAACAGTCGTCCTACGTGGCATACACATGACAGGTGGTTATTTGATGTATTAATGAATAAAAAAACTATCACATTAACACATCAAATAATCACCTGCCATGTGTATGCCACGTAGAGCGACTGCAAATAGCATTACTTATATTTTTAATATTCTGTGGCCCCACACTTAACACAAAGTAAATAAGTTTTGGAAAACTAAGAAATTCACCTATCGCAAGCCTTGGGCTGTGTACCTCACTCAATAGAAGTGTATGCCTCCAAAAATCCACCTTACAATTGAGGCATTTTTTGTTGAAAAAATTTCATAAGTAAGAGATTAATTATGACACATTTCAAAAACAAGAAAATAAGTTTCAAATTTCAAAAATTAGATTTTTATTAAAAATTATTTATAATTTAATTAATTAATTAATTTAGTAATTAACTATATTTATGTCACAAATCAATGATTTAATTCATCACTTATTATTTTTTGGTCACAAATCAGAAATTTTATGTCACAAATTATTTTACGATCACAATTCAAAAATTTTATAGGTCATAATTTGTTCATTGGTCACAAATCGGAAAATTTATAAGTCACAATTCATTTATTGGTTACAAATCACAAATATTACAAGTCAGTTTATTATACATTTACAAATTATCAAATTATCGGTCACAGATTAATAATTTTTTAGGCCACACATTATTTTTCGGTCACAATTTACTTTTTTTCATTGATCACATATTATTTATTGTTCAAAGATTCACCAATTTAATGGTCACAATCAACAAAATAATTCGTGACCACCACCAATACTTACAATTCACAGTCACAATTTTCAGGTCATGTATCCAATTGTGAGTCAGAGTTACAGTTTTCAGGTCACTTATCCAGTTGTAACTCACAAATCAACCAAACCATCACGACCACCGCCATGACCACCACAACCATCGCCACGACCAACTGTTACAATTGGGAGTCACAATCACAATCTTTAGGTCACGAGTCCAATTATTTGTCACAGAATCAACCAAACTGCCACGACCACCACAACCACTGAAATCCACCACAACTACCACCGTCACCACAAAATTGTGCAGATCACCAACATCACCCCATCGCCGCCGCATACACGCCACCACCGTCGCACACACGCCACCACACCCACGCACAAAAACTTTCAACAAACAAAACTTTTCGGCCACCCCTCACCGCTGCAAGCCAACCATCACCACAGTAACAGAAACCAATTACCAAAACAATGAAAATCAAACCATCGAATCTCGTCACCTATGCCATCCCACACACCAAACCATCAGATCAGCCACTCCCAACCACACAAAGACCATCACCACCACTAATCTAACAACCAAAACCACCACAACCCCACCACCCATTGCAATCGCCATCAACCCCATCACCACAACCACCAGATTCAATGGCTAGCCAACAGTACTTCAAGTGCCAATCGTAGATTTTGCTTCGCAACTACTACGTCTGCGCTGCTAGTCTCCGGCGATTAGATCTTGAAATGGATAGTGGGCAGGTGGCGATGGCACCACACGAAACACCACTTCGCTCGCCGATCATAGATCTGTTTGGCAGATATTGCTCCTATGCTACTAGTCACTGGAGATTACT